GATAATTGCTATTTTTTGGGTGTATATATACGGCTATCAATTCTATGTAAGATTTTTCTTCACTCTAAAATCACTTAGCAGTAGTAGGGCTTCAGCAAACTTAACCGTTTTGGTGCGTTCCCTTTGCGTTCCGTGTGCGTTCCCTTAATTAATAGGCATATGGGTCGAGTCAATGACGTCACCCATTGTTATAACCTAGGGAAAAAATGCGTTCCTTCATATTAATTAAGTGCCTATTCACTGCCTTCCTTCATATTAATTTAAGTGCCTAGTCAGTGTCTTCCTGCATACTAATTTGGATTTCCTGCATACTAATTAAGTGTCTTCCTCCATATATAATGAAGTGGATAGGTTTACTAATGAGCGTCACTCTACTACAATAGAAACAATAGACTTGGCTAGACTTGCCCGTTAAGTAACTTGAGCCCGGTTTTCGGACCGTCTATTAAAAGAAAAATAGGAATAAGAGAAGCGATCACCTAGCAACGCGAGAAACGGCTTCCTATATCTTATTTAGCGCTAAAACTCAGATATACATAAACAAAACACATACAGAAAGTGGAGTTGTCTTGAAAAGTCTTTATTTCCGTTTAGTTTATGTCTTCTTATTTGGCGCTAAAACTCAGATATATATAAACAAAACATACACAAATTGGAGCTGAAAACTCTCTAAGTTTGTCTGACGTTTTCTCCTTTCTATCTCGAGGAAATGAAAGTCTTGTCATTTTCACGGACGGTTAATCAGTTAATTATGCAAGTTCACAAGTTGAATACAAATTAGCTCTACAGGAAAGACCCAAGGGAGAGAATCTTGACGTATTATTATAAAACAAATAACTTAACAAGGATTAATTAAAACACGCGACTAATGATTGCTAGCAATAAAATCTGACACGAGATACCGTTTAAAACAAAAAGAGTCAAATACACAGCGATTTGAAAGAAATCTATTAAAACAGTCAAAGAAAGCAAGTCATGTTTTACTTACCCCTCTCCCTTTTCAATTTTATTTCCCTCCTCAATTTTTTCTTTTTCCCTTCTCCACAATTTTATCATTTTCCCTCCTCAATGTTTTTATTCCCTCCTCCACAATTTTTATCATTTTCCCTCCTCAATGTTTTTTATTCCCCTCCTTCACCTCCACCTCCTCATTTATTCTATATATTTTTCCATCCACAAATACATCGACCTCCTAGCGACCCTACATCGACCCCACATCGACCCTACATCGATCCCACATCGACCCCACATCGACCCTACATCGACCCCACATCGACCCTACATCGACCCTACACTCAACTTTTTTTTTAAAACTGCTTCGTAAATAGTGAAGCTATATACCACCACCGCCACATTTCTATTGTTTTCCCACCACCACCACCACCGCCACCACATTTCAATTGTTTTCCCTCCACCACCACCACCACATTTCTATTGTTTTCCCTCCACCACCACCACCACCACCACCACCACCGCCACCACATTTCTATTGTTTTTCCTCCACCACCACCACCACCACCGCTACCGCCACCACATTTCTATTGTTTTCCCTCCACCACCACCGCCACCACATTATTATTGTTTTCCCTCCTCCTCCTCCTCCTCATTTTTATTGTTTTCCCTCCTCCTCCTCCTCCTCCTCCTCCTCATTTTTTTGTTTTCCCTCCTCCTTCTCATTTTTGTTTTGGTACAGTAGGGGTACAGGAGGGGTACAGGAAGGGTACAGGAGGGGTACAGGAGGGGTACAGTAGGGGTACAAGAGGGGTACAGGAAGGGTACAGGAGGGGTACAGGAGGGGTACAGAAGGGGTACAGGAAGGGTACAGTAGGGGTACAGGAAGAGTACAGGAGGGGTACAGGAGGGGTACAGGAGGGTGGTGGAGGGAAAACAATAGAAATGTGGTGGCGGTAGCGGTGGTGGTGGTGGTGGTGGAGGAAAAACAATAGAAATGTGGTGGCGGTGGTGGTGGTGGTGGTGGTGGAGGGAAAACAATACAAATGTGGTGGTGGTGGTGGTGGTGGTGGTGATGGTGGAGGGAAAACAATAGAAATGTGGTGGTGGTGGTGGGAAAACAATTGAAATGTGGTGGCGGTGGTGGTGGTGGTGGGAAAACAATAGAAATGTGGCGGTGGTGGTATATAGCTTCACTATTTACGAAGCAGTTTTAAAAAAAAAGTTGAGTGTAGGGTCGATATAGGGTCGATGTGGGGTCGATGTAGGGTCGATGTGGGGTCGATGTGGGATCGATGTAGGGTCGATGTGGGGTCGATGTAGGGTCGCTAGGAGGTCGATGTATTTGTGGATGGAAAAATATATAGAATAAATGAGGAGGTGGAGGTGAAGGAGGGGAATAAAAAACATTGAGGAGGGAAAATGGTAAAAATTGTGGAGGAGGGAATAAAAACATTGAGGAGGGAAAATGATAAAATTGTGGAGAAGGGAAAAAGAAAAAATTGAGGAGGGAAACAAAATTGAAAAGGGAGAGGGGTAAGTAAAACATGACTTGCTTTCTTTGACTGTTTTAATAGATTTCTTTCAAATCGCTGTGTATTTGACTTTTTTTGTTTTAAACGGTATCTCGTGTCAGATTTTATTGCTAGCAATCATTAGTCGCGTGTTTTAATTAATCCTTGTTAAGTTATTTGTTTTATAATAATACGTCAAGATTCTCACCCTTGGGTCTTTCCTGTAGAGCTAATTTGTATTCAACTTGTGAACTTGCATAATTAACTGATTAACCGTCCGTGAAAATGACAAGACTTTCATTTCCTCGAGATAGAAAGGAGAAAACGTCAGACAAACTTAGAGAGTTTTCAGCTCCAATTTGTGTATGTTTTGTTTATATATATCTGAGTTTTAGCGCCAAATAAGAAGACATAAACTAAACGGAAATAAAGACTTTTCAAGACAACTCCACTTTCTGTATGTGTTTTGTTTATGTATATCTGAGTTTTAGCGCTAAATAAGATATAGGAAGCCGTTTCTCGCGTTGCTAGGTGATCGCTTCTCTTATTCCTATTTTTCTTTTAATAGACGGTCCGAAAACCGGGCTCAAGTTACTTAACGGGCAAGTCTAGGCAAGTCTATTGTTTCTATTGTAGTAGAGTGACGCTCATTAGTAAACCTATCCACTTCATTATATATGGAGGAAGACACTTAATTAGTATGCAGGAAATCCAAATTAGTATGCAGGAAGACACTGACTAGGCACTTAAATTAATATGAAGGAAGGCAGTGACTAGGCACTTAATTAATATGAAGGAACGCATTTTTTCCCTAGGTTATAACAATGGGTGACGTCATTGACTCGACCCATATGCCTATTAATTAAGGGAACGCACCAAAACGGTTAAGTTTGCTGAAGCCCTACTACTCTTAGCCTTACCTTTCCCTTAAAGTTAACTGATTTGTGGATTACAAGTTTATTGTTTGATTTAAATTATAAATTTATTAATGGGAGCTTCGCTTTTAGCCCTGGCTAAATCTATATATTACTTCCTCAGTAACGTCTGAATGGACCGGCCGTTAACGCAAATGAAATAAACACACACTCGGAACACTTAGTTCAAAAACACAATGATTTGCTTTAATAAACGAAGAAAAAAAACAAGGAGACAGGAAAGAAAAGCTAACAGAATCATTACACTTGACGGTAAAAATAGCGAGAAGGTCGAATTATAACATTGATCTCAGAAAACTTCGCGTAAACAAATCACCGGCCGCCGAAACCACAAAGCGGCTCTAAATGAAAAACCTACCGACTCTCCGCAATGATTCTTCATTCGCAGTTCAATTTAGCATTTCAGTTTCGAAGACAAGGGCAATTTTGCTGTTTAAGATAAAGATTAAGCTTACCGAAATGTTTGAACTAAACGAAAGAATGCCGGGGATGCGATCCGCTGAATCCCGCTAAATTTTTTCATAACTATACATAATTATGCGAATGTTTAGACAATCAACTAATCAAAATCACTACCCGGTTTTTGGGTAGTGAGTTACGTCACTGGACAGCATTAACGGCCGGTCGATTCAGACGTTGTTGAGAGGAGAAAATGACTCGAAGCAATCGGATGAATTTCAGGCTAGAGGATTACAGGGCGTAGTCAGCTTTTCGACTAGTTGTAGACCTGCCCTGACCTCACTCCAACAAAGCATAATTCATTGGGAGCGGTATAGAGTGATCAAACCAAAAATTTGGAGACCAGGGCCTACAGGTTTATAGGCTGGCTACACCCCTGGATTATTTGGTTCAATCCTGAATGCACTTTTAATAAATTATGTATCAGTTTTTGCCAGATGGGAACCAACACCTGGCTAGTTGATTCCTTTAATTGCCTTGTCTATATTAGCATAATGACACTTGAATGCTCCTGAGAAATACCATCATTGACTGATTTCCCTTTTGGATAAGAAAGGTCATGGATCATGCGTAAATCTCCTGGAGTTTTCTTTGAGACAACCCCCACGCGGGACATTCTGAAAACTGGGAAAGGTGATGTATCAAAAGGGCCCGCAAGCCTATTGGCATCCAACTTCTTAGCTATTTTCTGATTGACTTCCTGAAGCTATTCTTTCGCTGATAACAAATTAGAAGGTTTACAATGTCTCGTTTGACCAACAGAATAAAGAGGAACGATTTTTTAAAAGAAAAAACATAACAAAACTCAAGCCTGTTTACCTTTACTGGTGTTGACACCCAGAGGATTGGCAGAAACTGGTGTTCCCGTAAAGAGACGAAAATTGATACAGTTTACCATTCATTGGTGAATACAAACAAGAAATAACTACCACTGAGTAACTACTATTACTGAACTACCAGTAACTTCTAGCATTTTTCTAGTAACTACTAGTAACTGTACAAGTAACTATACCCGTAACTACTTGTAACTTCTAATAACTACGAGTAATAACTAAGTTAGTAGACACAATACTTTATGTTACACAGAGTATATATCACCGGTGCACTTATGGCTTCGGACCATGAAGTATATACTAGTGACCATCACTGTTTAATAACACTGGTTTTCTTTCAGCGCGATAAGAGTGTTTTGATATAGCAGCACGATTTCCTGCTTTCTAAACAGTAACTGAACTTAACACACGCAACAGGTAAGACGTGGTTTACTTCTTTTCATAACTAAATCCTGCCTAAAAGGTCTTGATTGAATTGTAAGCGGTGTCGTTGTGTGATCGACTTGAGAATTTTGTACGGGTTCCTCAAGGGATACTCTATAAAAAGCAGCTTTTGCTCAAAAGATAGCATTTGCACTATTATTGCGGGAAAATGACAAAAAAACAATCGAAAGGCAAAAGTAAAATCCCGAAAATCGTTGGAGAAAAGCGAAATTTCAGCCTTTTCAGGACCGGAAGTGAAATCGCTGATTTGTTAGGGCACTTGACCATAACATACAAAGAAGAATCTTTTCAGAGTGACTGAAGAGATTGTGGAGTGAGGATGGTTCTTCCCTTTCTTCTCGTCCTCCAAACAAAAGTATAAACGACAATTTGAGTTTATCAGCGTGTGAGGGAGCACAGACGTACCTGTTAAAGCCGTATGACAGCGATCGGATACTGACTCGACAAGCGAGTTCGACGTGGAACGGTATTAAAGCAAATATGCTGCACTGCAAATTCTGTTCGTTACTGATCGACGGTGTGATTACACTTTCGATAAAATAAAGTTATTCTAGCCAAAAAATTTCTTATCTGATGGAGTGGCAATGTTTTGTTTGAGCATTTAATATTACGATCTAAAGCCGTGTTGAATAAGTAATTAAACCGTGTATGCGTACAAGGCGATTTTCCCGGGAAATTCAATAATTTCATGTTATGAACATATTTGTGCTTGGATGAATTATATAAAGGTTGTCGACCTAAGAAAAAGCGACTACCGTCACAATTTCAAGAGTGTGTCTGCTGCTCAGAGATTGACTGTTGCCTGTGGTCGCTAAAAACAATGAAGCGATTGAGGCAGAAGGATTCATCCTATTTGCATAACACATCCGGGATTCCAAGCAGTTTTCTTGAATCGCTGGGTTCTTCAGACAGCCTGGTATTAATGCAAACAGCAGTACTGCGACTCCTACGAAGGCCCAACACACAAACAAACCGTCACATAGCTTAAAGGCAGCTGGCGAGGTGGTGCTCGGGCATTTTAGGAAAAGTTCGCGTTGTCCTGCTGTCTTGCACAGTTTGTTACATTGGGGCTCACTTTCCTCCCCTACTAAAGAGACAATGAAGAGGGATGACTTTGTGTTCGAGGGATTTCGCTTTGCAGACGAGTAATGAGAACACAGACTACACAGAATTTTAACATGTATTCTCCATATAAACCATAAGCAATTAATATATTTTTATTATGGTGATTTGCCTTTCTTTTATTTTTTATTATGGTGATCTTGCGTATCCCGAGATGTTGCGGCGATTTTTCCGTTTCACGTCCTAGCTCTTTAGTTTCTGGTGGCCCACGTTTAAATGTTGGAAGAGCATCAGCTTTTATTATTGGTTTCCTGTTTAAGCCTAGGAACTACGCTATCGCTGGATCTTCTTTGTACGTCATTTCCGGTTTCAAGCTGCAGGGCAAAATTGGAATTGCGTGACGAAAAACTTTCCCCGTTTTCTTAGTCTTTTCTGGCGAATACAGATGAACCGGACATTCTATTTTCTCAAAATCTCTTAATAAGGCCATAAGCTATCTTTTCGTAAAATTACCGTTTTGGGTATAGAGTATATCTTTAATGGGGGATATACGTAAATCTCACCCGAGGTTCTCGTACTTTCACTAAAAACCCTTTGAGCCGAAAGTCCAATAATACTAACTTAAGTTTTAAAGGTAAAGCTGGACATCTTATGTAGATTACCCCTAACTAATTTATTTTTTGACCTATAATACGAAAAAACATAAGCTTAACATTATAATGTTTTGCCTATCATTCGCCTCGGAGGGGGTGGCATGGTTTTGTCAGAAAAAATGAGTGACTGATCTTTTCTGCCAGTGAAAATGAATAACTGTTTATATTTTGTTTGTTTGTCGGTGATTTTCTTTTTGTCTTTCTTTTCTTGTTTAGTCTTCTTGGTTAATTTAAATTGTTGTTGTTGTTTAGTATTAACAGAGAGACCAATGACAACTGGTCATCTGCATAGTCTCTGCCGGCAAGGCAGTGTCTCCAAAATCCAGTCTTACCTGGAGGAAGCTGAAGATATTCATAACAAGTTAGAAGAACGTATCGGTTTCCTTGGCTACACTCCCCTCCATGAAGCAGCCAAAGAAGGTCGAATCGATGTTGTCAGGCTATTGCTCGAGAATGGTGCAAATGCAAATGCCGAGGCCAATGGTCAGTACACACCTCTGCACATTGCAGCGTCAATGGACAATGTAGATTGTGTGGTTGAGCTTTTGAAACACAATGCTGATGTAACTAAGAAAGATGAGTTTGATAAAACACCTTACAGGACAGCCATAATTATGAAGTGCAAGAAAGCAGCACAAATACTCAAGACCGAAGGTAGGTGGATGAAATTTCTATTCCACTTTGTGAGCTCAGTTTCGATCAGTTAGAAGAACACTGGGTAGCCACAGGCAAGCAGGAGGTGACAAATTTTTATTCCTGTCCGACAACAACCAGGTTCTTTACGAGACTGTTGGTACAGACCTAATGCTTTTTTTCAATAGGTGATCATATCATTGGGTAGTGACAAAATGCCTTCCTATTTTTATTCTCCTCCTCCTTCCCTTGTCATTGGAACTGAAAGAACACTCACTGCAAAAAGGCAAGAGATGTAGAACCCAGTAGTTACAGACAGCTGAGCACGACAGCTTTGATTTCGGTTGCTACAGACGTCCTTTTCCATGCCCTGTCACTCTGTTAGATTGATAACGTCAATGCAAACAGGCTGGTCACGTTTATATTCCCAACGTAGATTTTATGTGAGGAGATGTGGACGTTGAACTGTGCTTCATGTATGTAGCTACCATAAAACTCTCGACTGGGCGGAGGTGGGGGGGTGGGGGGTTTGGTAGCAAAGGGAGTTTGTGAAGCGCAAGAGCCTCCCTCCCCACCCCTCAGTTGACAGCTTGCGCGTCTGTGTAACACTAAACAGACTCCATACGCTATATACCAGCATGTTTACAGACCTTCTATTTTCTCTTTAGAGATTGTCGACAGCGCGATCGCAAATTTCGTCGAAAAAAAAACCGTCTGTGGACAGGCTAATTATAATTATACCAACTATCATGCAATATCCATGATCCTGATTATATTCCGTTCTCCTTTTCACGATCCTCGCCCGCCATGACTCATTCTTATATTTTGCAATCATTGATCTGCTCTCTAGAGATCAAGAGGGCAGCCCGGGAAAATAGCCCAAATTTGAAGGACTTGTTAGCGTCAATATCCGGTCAAGATATATTACCATCATGCTTCAAGGAAGCCCTGTGGGAGGCATCAAGCTGCGGACATGTGGATGCAATCTGTTCGTTGGTCGTCGCGGGTGGAAAAATGCCTTTGTATCTCAAAGACTGCATTATTCAAGCGCTAAGATTGGACTTTTGTGAGGCTGCTGCGACATTGTTGATGTGCTATGCGGCAAAACACGACAAAAGACTGCTTCTAAAATATTTGATGGGTGGAGAGACGAGCAGAGAGGAAGGAGAACAAGCCATTTTAGAATTACCTTGTCCAAGTGTTTCACGTAACACTATGGCTGGTATAAGGTACAGGATATTTTTTATACTTTGGAATTGACGTCATTTTTCTAGTTACAGTGTATATCACTGTGGAGACTGACTTTTTCCCTTGTTTCCTTTGTGTGTGTTGTATCAGTATTAATATATAGAATATTTCATGAAAAGTTTGCGCGAACAGCATTTACACTCGACTTGTTGCATGTTGCTGAAATACCGTTTTGAATCCTCGAAGGCCCTATAGCCGTGCGCTTTGTATGGCGGGCTCAGTTACAACCATCGATCTATCAATAGAGGGCTTTAGATTTGAGGACGAGATCAGGACAAGTACGAGATTAACTTCAAGTTTTTGCGCGTGTTCTAAAAAAAAGACACCCCGGAAAGCTTGATTTTACTTTTTTTCACCAAAAAGTTAGTACGGTCATTTATAATGACGGAGGGTAAGCCCTCTCTCGATAGCAAACTGATAAAACTTCTTACATTTGACAACTTGTTCCCGCCACAGTGACATTCTCGCTAAAACTCGCAATAGATTGACAACGACTATCTCGTTTTTCCGCCAAAATGATGCTGGCTCACACGTGGGCAATACTCGGTATTGAGGAAATCTCGTGCTCGTAGCCGTCCTCGTCTCAGAATCTAAAGCTCTCTAATAACTGGATGCCTGCATTTGGAAAACTAGTTTGACGGTAGAAAGCAGGATTGACCAGACGCGACGTTTAAGGTTGAACGCGATTCAGGCAGAGCCTCTTTTCCACCCCCAGTCTTCACTCAAGAAGACAAAATCTCGCAGGATGCACCTTCTCCACAGTTAAATGAAGAAGACCCTAAGTGTTAATCCAACTTAGAAACGACGTCTTCGCCCCACCCTCTTGGCTACGCCTATTGGGGAAGGGTTGGGGCAAACAGACGGCTGGCACTTCAAACTAAACGAACCTGGCCTGTGCGGTGTCAAATCAATAGCAAAGCGCACAAATGACATGTAAATGACAACTTTTGACATGTACCAGTTAGGGAAAATCCGTCAAAACCAATGGAAAGAGCGCCTTAAAATTAGCACAATTTTCAAGTTTGAAAGTGATACGTCTTAAGCGAGAGAAGATAACGGTAGCTCCGAAGAGTTGCGAAATTTTACAGTCGTTTGTATGGTGGGAGCACAAACTTGCCCCCACCATACAAACCTCTGTAAAATATCGCGAATTCGAGAAGCTAGTCTTCTTTAGTTTTCAACAAAACAATTTCAAACGTGGCAACTCTACTAATTTGAAGGCGATCTTCGCAGCGGAGTTGGCTGATTTTCCCAAACTTGTCCGTGTCAAAAGTTGGAAAAAAGAAACCGTGGAAAGGTCTTTTTGCAACGTCTGTCTGACTTCTATCATTAGTCAGATAACACAGCATTTTAATAACAACAGACAAACGAAAGTGGGGAATTCGCTAATATCAATTTTAGGCCATGTCCACACGAATCCAAACATTTTTGAAACCGCATATTTTTTATTAGGATTCGTGAAGACGAGGCCTTAAACCTCTCCGGCAGGTGGTTTCAAAACAATGTGGTTTCGGTGTCCGGATTGACTGGTTTCCGATTCGTATAAAAAAGTTTGCAGTTTAAAAAGTATCCGGATTCCTGTAGAGGGGGCCTTAAGCCTTTAATTCCCAGTGATGACCAACATCAATTTTCTCCTATCAATATCTATACCTCATCAATAGAAAAGGTTATGAGAATTAATAAAATGATCACCAAAGAGAAAATGCCTTGATCTTTTATCAAATTCTCTCAACACATTCTTGAACAAAATAAATAGAGATCAGTTTGGAGAATTTGTATGTGGATATTGGGGCTTAAAGGGTAAAATTTGTTTGTCTGACCTTCAGTTTTAGAAATAGTAACTGTGCCCAGCGCTATTGTGCGAACCAGTCTCTACCTTTTTTTAGGTTATTTATTGCGAACAAGGAAGTCTTTCCAACCGCTGTTCCCCTTGAACTGGCGTTACAGCACAGAAGAAAGGAAGCTGCTGAGATAATTTTACTGAATACTGACTGTGATCGACAACGACGTCAAGTTGATTGGGGGAACCTTGCGATGGGTGAAATTGAACCTGCGTGGCTAGAAAACATTAAATGGGTAGAAACAATTCTTCTTGTTTCAAATTTCCTACAGAGAGTTCCGGATAACATTTACATTCTGGACAAAGTGAGTTGTTTAGACTTAAGCAAAAATCAGTTGAAAACGATTCCGGTATGTTTACTCGAGATGCCAAGTCTTTGTAATCTTTGGCTGTCAGAAAACAAAATCGTGGAATTACCCAAGCAGTGCAATTGGAGTTCGTCTCTCAAGACACTTGATTTGAATGATAACTTATTGCAGACACTACCCAAGAGCATGGCAAAGGCGAAGTTGACCTCTCTTCACGTAGCAAGAAATAACTTGTACTATCTGCCGTCGTGGATGGCTTCTCTGCAGTTGTTAGATGTATCCGGGAATCCCAGGTTGAAGAACGTCCCTCAAAAGTTGGAAAAGCTGAACCAGACTAAAAGTGACTCGCTTATTGGGGAGAATCATCAGGTTGGTTTAGTAGTATTGTCTAGATACATTGTATACACTCGATTGCAAAAACAACGTGCAAAGAAAGTAGTGTCCGATAGCCCGGGACTAGTGGATTTTGCTATCGGGCCAGTGAATTCTGTTCTTAACTTGGCCAAAGGGCAAGTGAAGTTTTTTGAGGAGTTCAAATTACATAAGAACTGTGTAATCAATCCTGCTTATCAAAACGTTTTGGGGGCTAGTTGAAATGAATTTTGGGCAAGTAAATGCTAGCCACAGCTTGCCCGAATGGCAAGCTATAAAACTGACTTTCTCTGCACCCTGAAAAACGAGGCTCAGTAATGATTTTTTATTCTCATTTAAATTCGTTTTCACAAGAAAGGTTTTGCACGTAGGCTCGTTTTGAAAGTGAGAGTGTTTGGAACCTGGAAATAGCCTATTCCAACAAGGTCCACAGGGCTTTCAGTTTTCTTGGGGGAAATCTCTTCCTGAGCGCATATCTTTTCTCAGAAATCTCTTTCTTACAAGAGCGTGGAACAAAATCGCAGTTCTCAGTTTCATCAATTTAAGGTTAGTATTTATTCAAGAATCGTGAGAGATTTGTATGGTAAGCCTCGAACACCACCAAGGAGGGACCTTCACCCAGGTTCTTTAATAAAAATGTTATTGGCCCTGGAAGGTGAAGGGCAAAATCGTGGAAAGGGGAAGGTCGATTGAGGGAGACTTTTAACACAGGAAGGTGCCAGAAATTAATTCAAAAAGAGAAAGCAAACGAACAAACAATTTGACGAACAAATGGCACCGGGTGGAAGTAATATGGGTAGGTTTGTTCCTTTAGTAACGCCTTAGTATTTCGTCTACAGACTCAAACGTTTGCATGCAGTATGGTACATTTCCAGGTGTCAATATAAGGGCCGCTCAACAGACAACGTCCGGCCATAAGGGTATCTTGACCGGCCAAAAGCTTCATTCGCCCGGTCATGTTGACCGGCCAGGCAGACTCTCATTCTCGAACAAACAGTCAAATCCTTACCTGTAAATCGTAGATTTTTTTTGTCTTTGTAAAAATACAATCACATTTAATCATAGAAGAAAGAAGAATAAGTTCACTTTTTTCAATTTTTGGACCGGTTAGAAAACGAGACTTAACCGAGCAAAAAATTCATTGGCCGGCCATCGTGTCCAGCTACAGTCCGAAGACTATTTTGAGTCCTCATTTCTCCAAAATTGATTCAGAGAATGAAGGAATATGACACGATTTTTCTTTTTCAGGAGGCTGACTTGTCTGATCTGGACAAACTCTACCTAGCAATGGCTGAAGTTGGTACAGAATTGAATTTCAATATATTGGTATACAGTCTAGGTATCACCAGTATCAACGCATTGAAGGATTACAAATCAAAAGACAGCGTCATATTGCATCCTGATGAGATCAACACCATAAAAAAGAAACTTGTCAACACAAGCTTCAAATTTGGTCAGCTCGCTCAGGTATCATAGTACTACCGTAAAATTCCGAAAATAAGCCCTTCCATGTATAAGCCCCTCCAAATATAGCCCCCCCCCCCCCCAAAAAAAAAAAAAAAAACTGGTAACGCAAAACACCCTCCGTTTAATCGGCCCTCCAAATATAAGCCCCCCGGGGGGCTTGTACTCGGAAATTGCCGTCAAATACAAAGCAAAACAAAGCAAAAACGGTAAATCTCCTTCCATTAATAAGGCTAGACCAATCGATCTTGAAACGCAAATTTCCCTCCGAATATAAGCCTCCCCAAAAATAAGCCCCTAAAAAAGGGCCTTTGAAAAATATAAGCCCCGGGGCTTATTTTTGGAATTTTACGGTATGTCTGTAAGTGTGCTGAGATTTGCTGTAAGTTTGTATTTGACGAGGTAGCGGTTTAATTTACCACGGTCAACACAAGGGCCCTTTTGCATTAGATATAAATTTTCTTTCCTTACTACCATCAAACCTGAATTAAGTCGACCTGCATTAATAAGCAGTCAATCACCTATTGAGCAATCACTTCCTCAAGTTCCCAGAATCATTTCCCTTAATTACAGTAAACCTGAGCTGTAGTTATTAAGAGCGGTTGTGGTCACCATTTCCGTGGTCCCAACGAGTTATTTTTTCATTGTCTTCACCTCCATTGAACGGTCTCTTTGTCAAGGTATAGCATACAAGTGCAGCAGATATATATAGTCTGCATAGCATTCAGTGATCTGTGACTTTTTTTCTTTCGGTGCAAGAACAGGTAGAAAAAATCTGAGGTCAATTTGTCGTGTTATGGACATCTCGCTTGCCATCTTCATTTTCTTCATAAACTCTTAGGTTGGTCAAACATGTGTAAGACAGTCAACCTGTATTAAGCGATTAGTTGGCACTTGAGCTTCCCATTAGGGTCATGAGG